TGGCCTTGTGTAATATCCCTTTCTTTCATGTAAGGTTTCTCTTGTCAAGAAAAGTTTTAAGTTTTATCTTTTTAAAATTCATTTTAATTTAAAATTTGTGAATTAATACCTTATTTACATTATATTTGCATTTTAATTTCATATATTTGAAAGTGCTTTGATGAGAGCATTATGGCATAAGTTAGATGCAAGTCATGCTACTAGAGAAAGAGAGGAATTTGAAACTTTAGAATATTAAAATTAGATGTAAGTTTAGTCATCTGGAGAAGGGGGAACTAACAGTCTAATAGGAAGCATACAAAACCCTGTCCTTGGCTTTAGTTCAACCCATCTTGACATCAAAGAGTCTTCCTAGTGAAAGATGAAAATGGAATTTGTCGGAAATAATGAAAATGATAAAAATTGGATGGATACCAGTGTCATATTTCCAAATGATTAATCTAGTTTAAATAATTCTTCCCTATAGAAAATCCTCTTGAGGCAAAGGAGAAAAGGAATAAAATAAATGTAAATAATTCTTTAAATATTTTCTTTTTGCATTTCCAGGGAGAATCTTGCCCTCTTTCTAGGGACTTTGCATGAATTTTAAATATTGCTATGTATGACTATTGAAATGGTAACGCCAAGAAATTTGGTTAAGCTCATGAATGACTCTTTAGAGATACCCTTTCAGAACTAAACATTTTTTGCCAGGCTCTGTCAGAAATCTATGACACTAGTCAAAACAAAAATTGAAGTCACAATAAAAATACTTTTGAAGGGCTTATGTCTAGCCCAAAGAATAGTTTCTTGCCTTAGCTCCTGTAATAAAGACCTCTTACCACACCACAACAGCAGCTTTGCATTGCACAGCCCATGATTACCAAGATCTAACAATATAAAATTTGTAGATATTTCTTCAAAATTTCATGTATGAAAAGACTTTTAAACCTTTATTCATGTTACAAGGTTTGCATGGATGGAATGGCCTACAAATCTTTCTATCCTCATATGGTAAGATCATAGTCATTCTTCTAGATATATGTTAGACTGAACTAATTAAGATGTAAAGATTGAACCTATACTTTCCAAGATTGAATATATTACACAACCTTGGATTTAATTTATCCATCTTGTGTGTGTATACATTTTAATATAAATACATGATGACTTAAGTTCAAAACCATTTAGTCAACTTGGGGTACTTTCACAGGCTGAATTCAAAGGCAACCTGATATAAGGAAAGCTCCTGCTGATAGATCTCTTAAAAACACATAATTTGGATAGGGGGTGAGATCAAGATGGTGGAGTAAGAAGACCCTGAACTCACTTCCTCCTATAAATACATCAAATCTACAACTACTTACAGAGCAACTCTCGTTGAGAATGACCTGAAAACTAGCAGAACAGCTCTTCTACAACCAAGGCTTTAAAGAAAGAACCACAAGGAACCTGGTGGAAGGAGAAGAGAAGAGATCTAGTTGGGAACAGCACCCCTAGCAGGTGACCCAGAAGAGGAGGGGAATATCACCAGCTTGGGCATCCTCCCTAAGGAGTGAGGGGTACAATCCCCATACAAGGCACCCCATCCCTAGGGTCTGACACCAGGAAGAAAAGTCCTTTTGGATGGTTTGAAAACCAGGAGGGCTTACCAAAGGGCTGTAAGAAACTGAGACTTCACTCTTGAAGAGCACACACACAGACTTGCTTGCTACCAGTTCCAGCACAAAGGCACCAGATTGAAAACTGCCTCGTGTTCTGACAACCCTGCCAGGACCACCCCAGCATGCATCCCATTCCACATTGGGCTCCTGTTCCAGCCTCTCCCGCCTTAGCATTGCTCCCAGCTAAGGTGAAAACCACCATTGCCAATGCACAAAGAAAATGGAAACACTAATTTGAAAACATATATGCACCTCAATAATTGCATTATTTACAATAGCCAAGAGAGAAAAATAACCTAAGTGTCCATCAACAGATGAATGGGTAAAAAAGGTGTGGTATATATAAATACACAATGGAATATGATTCAGCCATAGAAAAGAATGAAATCTTGCCTTTTTTTTTTTTTTTTTGTGGTACGCGGACCTCTCACTGCTGTGGCCCCTGCCGTTGTGGAGCACAGGCTCCGGACGCGCAGGCCCAGCGGCCATGGCTCATGGGCCCAGCCACTCCACGGCATGCGGGATCCTCCCGGACCGGGGCACGAACCCGCGTCCCCTGCATCGGCAGGCGGACCCTCAACCACTGCACCACCAGGGAAGCCCAAATCTTGCCAATTTTGACAACATGGATGGATCTAGTGGGTATTGAGCTTAGTGAAATAAGTCAGTCAGAGAAAGACAAATACTGTATGTTTTCAATTGTATCTGGAATCTAGAAAATAAAACGAATGAATATAACAAAAAAGAAACAGACTCACAGATACAGAGAACAAACCACCTAGTGGTTACCAGTGGGGAGAGTGGGCAAGAAAGGTGAAGGGGGTTAAGAGGTACAAACAACTAAGTATAAAATAAACAAGGTACAAGGATGTAATGTAGAGCACAGAGAAGATAGACAATATTTTATAATAACTTTATATGGAGCATAATCCATAAAAATATCAATACTATGTTGTACATCTGAAACATATAACAAACAAATATAATATTGTACATTAACTATACAGCAATAAAAACAAAAGCAAAAAAATACATAATTTGGAATTGACTAATTTAACTCTACAGCAAAGCCTACTCTGATATCTCCTAACAGTGCTTAAAAGCAAGCATCAAAATATCAAGCTTAATGTCAAGGAAATCATCTAACTGTTGCAGAAAATAAAACATTGTTAGACATCAGAAAAACTCAGGCAATCAAGAACTTAGCATCATAATGACAAGAATACAATTTTAAAAATTGCTAAATATGTGAAGAATGCAGAAAATGTCACCAAAACTAGGAACAGGAGGAGTCAATAGAAACAGTTTAAGAAATGACAGAGGCAATGGAGTCAGCAGAAAAGGCACCATTTTAATTGGAAAACTGACCCATAACAATTAAATTATAAAGAACACAAGAGCAAATGAAGATAACAGGTGATGACTCAAGGTAAATAGAAGATTAAAAATGAGGGGGACAAAAACTTAAAAATCAGAAGTAAATAAAGTGTTCAAATATTTGAGAAAACATGACAATTATTAAATCTATGAAAAATGAATGAACATATGAATTATAGCAGTCCTTGAAGAGGAACCAAAGTAAGGAAACAAATATATTAAAAATCTGCAATTCAAGAACAGTTTCCTAAAATTAAATATCAAACCAGTGAAAGCAAAAGCAATTCGTTATGAAAAATGTCAGGACCTCCTCCAGCTAGGTGAACTGCTCAGAGACAGAAAACACAGTGTGAAAGGATGCTTTAGACATGTGTTGTAGGCAGAATTCTAAGATGGTCTTATAAATTCCTGTTTCCTGTTGTATACACCCTGTGTCAGTCCCTCCCTTTGTGTGGGGGTGGGACTTGCAAACATGTTCACCATGTATGATGAAAGTGAAGAAATTTTGCAAATTTAATACAGCTCCCTATCAGTTCCTTCCAAGTTAAATAAAAGGGAGTGATTAATCTGGTGAGTCTGATCTAATTACATGATTTCTCCAAAAGAGGGTCGGGCAATCTTTGAAGTTAGAGGCCTGCGAGGCAAAGATTCTCTTTGTTGTTGAGAATCAAGGAGCGAGGAGCAAGCTGCCATGAATCTATACCTACTAGGAAATTATTCTTACCAACAACCTGAGAGACTTTAGGTGAGGATGCTTCTCTAGTCAAACTTCAGATTAGAATGCAATCTAGCTGACACTTTGGTTTCATCCTTGTGGGACCCTGAACAGAGAGCCCAGTTAAGACATGCCTAGATCTATGACATATAAACACTGTAAGATAAATCGGTGTTATTTCCAGCCACAGAGATTGTGGTAATCTGTTACACAGCAATAGAAAACAAATACAACAGGCGATTTCTTACTAATGTAAGTGACTTTCACATTTGTGGAAAACATTGTCAGTTAAAGTAAAAATTCAGTTCCAAATTTTTAGATAATTTATACAGACAATTATTTTGTTCTCATATTTTCTTATTCTAATTTTTTTGGTTAAATAATTTTCTTAATATTTACACTGATGTCATGAAGCAGTAATAGTTTGGGGAGAGTAGAGCAATATATGTCATTTGACAGTCAACTCTGGACACTTCAGCAATCTGTGCTTAGAGAGACATGTACTTTTTAGTTGACCGTTTATCTAAACTATAGCCTTGCCACATGGCAAGGATGACCTCAGAACATAGACACAAGACTTCCTAAAGTCTTCCCAAAGCTTTATGGAATATTATTTAGATGGTATCAGTGTTTCATATGTGATTTTCACATCTCTGTCTATTGATGCATACATGATAAAATTTGTAATTGTACTATTTAAATACAGTCCCCACGTGTTTGAATCCTTCATATCAATTTTGAAAAATTGTTTTTTTGAACCCTTGCTAATTTTTCATTATAAAATTTGACTTAGTTATAATGTATTTTAATTTTGTGATTTTATGAGGAATTATATATTTAGAATTACAGGTTAAATTTTCAGACATTAGGAATATCATGTACAATGAAGATTTTGTTCATAAATATGCATTTGATACTGACACACAGGTATCAAACATGGTTTGGCATTGTGATTTTTTCTTTTTTCTTTGCTTTTCTTTCTGTGCTAGTTATTAATATATTTAAAGTCCTGATTTTAATTTTCATTTTTTACCATGTTTCTAGCTCATAGATCTTATATGTCAAGTGAGGAAACTTTATTTATGGAAAAGAATCCAGTCTAACTAAACCTTTCCATGTGATTACAGAGGAAATTTTAGGGCAGCAGAAGTCCCACACCATTTCCTTAACACAATTGCCTAATTTATTGGTTGGCCTCCTGTATTAATACCTCTTTTATCATTTATGCCAGAACTGTATTGATCTAATCTTCGATTCTCTTTCAGGGGCTGCTGAACTCATCCTTGATTCTGTCAAGCTATCCTCAATCTGTATAATTGGTCCCTGTGTGGTTGTAGGTAGGTAAATCCACTGTAGGATGTTACAAGTAGTTTTCACCCTTCTTCTGGGACCTGTAGTCATGTAAGCCTTTCTTACATTTTATCATTTTCATGCTGCATGGAATAACTCATTTTTTCAGGTTGATTTTGAAAAGAAGCACTTACTTTATATTGAAGTAAATGAAAATATTCACCTGCATTCTTGTTATTAACACTTTACAGAGAAAGGGAGAGATCAAGAGAACAAAAGTACATGTTACTAACATTTGAAATATGTTATGAAAGACAATAATAAAAATCTCTAAGAAATCTATGTAGAATATAATAGGTAAATTATGTAGTTCACTGTATATAGTACCAGAAGCTTAATCCATATGATTATGTAACAGTCATGTGGTTACTATTTATTTGACAAGCTATATTAGAAACTGACTCTTGCTCCTGACTCCTGACTAATATTTTGGACAAATTAATTTCTCTCGCTGAGAATATCTGAACTCACAGGCCTGATCATCTATTTATACGAAGGACAATTAAACTTGATTGTCAGAATGAGAAACACACTTTCTCTTAAGAGATTTGACCAATGGCTTTATTCAGAAAAATACCAAATTGGCCAAATAGCATTTGTTGGCTAATAAATAATCACCCCCAATAAAGAAGGGTTTTGTTGCTGCAGCTCTTGCTGTGCTGAATCTCACTAAAGTTCTATTTTGTCCCTGAACTCCAGAGCCAAAAATCATGTATTGTAATAAGGTGCAATAAATTTAAACATAAATAGTTAGAACCCTTGGGAAAAATAATTTGTCAATACAGAAATAGTTCAAAGATTAAACTACTCTGAAGAAGCCGCTTTTTAGGGAAAATTACACCTTGACTTTAACGTACCTCACCTTGTGGCAGCAGAAAACAAAAAAAAGAAAGAAAATCACTCACTTTACTCGCAGGGGTTCACACTTAAAACTCTAATCCTTTGACTTCACTAAATTCTGTCTTGAGGCATAAATTTAGTGGATACACAGTGGGCTCCTATAAGCTTAGAATAATTTTAAACCTATTTCCTGAGAAGATTAAAATATTGTATATATTTATTTTCAAATATTTTCTAGATAGTGGTTTTTGACAAATGTTTCATCTAAAAATTTTATATCTATAAATAAAATGCAAAAGAGTCAATAGGAATAAAAATGTAGGGGCAGTGGACCAGTGGACAGTGGTTGAGTATTTTACTGAATCACATGAAGTTTTCCTCATCTACACTCCTGCAGCTGATCCAAAACATGCTCAGGTGATACACAGGTATCATCCAGAGCTTGACATAATGACTTTCCTTTTTTGTTCCATGCACTGATCACTTGCTAGTATATTTAAAGACATAATCTTAATTTTCATCCTCTCGATTGTGTCTGTCTAGGAGACCACTTAGTGAATTGAGTGAAAAAACAGTTCATTAAAGCAAACCTAATTTCTACTTTACTCAGAAGTGACCCATCCTGAACTTAGTGAAGCTGGAGACTTATGTTTGGAAACAGCCCACAGATATTATTTTCAGAATTCTTTAGTACAAAGCCCAAGAATCTTGTTTAGATTTTTTGCTGACTTGAGCACTCTCAATGAGAGAACTTCAGGGACTAGTTCAGTTTGATCTTGGCGGCAATAGTGCTGATCTGTGTGGGAATGTACGTGAGTGTATGGAGATGGGAGGTGTGTGTGTAAATTATTTTGGTTTGGTTCTGCTTGATGGGGGTGTGGTGGCATGGCAGTGAACAGACTATAAACCATTCATTCTGTCTTTTCAGTTCCTTTCTTGTATTCAAAAAAAAAATTGCTGTTTTTGTTTTTTCACATGTTGTCTTTCTGAAAACGTACTGTTTTCTAATACAGTGTTTCTAGCTTTTGAAAGCTGTTAAAAATGATTGTTGTAAGTCAATTTATATCTCAATGTTGAGGACTGTGGTATCCTTATTGACATTCCCATCTATTACCTAAAAATATCTAATTATCAATAACTTATTAAGCCTATTCTTATTATATATACATTTTTTTTTTAAGAAAGACTTTTTAAAAATTTTTATTTATTTTTGGCTGTGTTGGGTTTTTGCTGCTGCATGTGGGCTTTCTCTAGTTGCGGCGAGCGGGGGCCACTTTTCGTTGTGGTGCCCAGGCTTCTCATGGCGGTGGCTTCTCTTGTTGTGGAGCATAGGCTCTAGGCACATGGGCTTTAGTAGTTGTGGCACACGAGCTCAGTAGTTGTGGCTCGCGGGCTCTAGGGTGCAGGCTCAGTAGCTGTGGCGCACAGGCTTAGTTGCTCCACGGCATGTGGGATCTTCCTGGGCCAGGGATTGGAACCCATGTCCCTGCATTGTCAGGCGGATTCTTAACCACTGCGCCACCAGGGAAGTCCTATTCTTATTATATTTTATAAAGTAAAATGGTCACTGTATATAAACAAATAAAAATATACTTACTGTAGTAGTTTGTCTCAGATGGTGGGTATACCATAAGGGAAACCAGTGAGCCAAACTTGGATTAAACCTATGTTCTTACAAACATTGATAACATAATTTTGCGAAAATTATTTATTCTGTCATCCTGAGGGTTTTTATCTGAAAACTTGAGATAATAATAATAGTAATAATAATAATATCACATTAATCTTTACAATATTTTAAACATAGCAGGTAATTGGAAATTATTACTTTGAATTTGGATCTGCATATGCATCGCCTAACTTTTCCTCTTGTAATATTTATTTGCATTGATGGTTCTTAAAAAAACCTGATCAGATAAACCATGTACTTGCCATGTGTTGATATAGCCTACTGGAAAAAGAAATGGAAAAGTGTTCTTAATACCAACATCCTTTTAAGAAAAAGGGGTATCAAAATGTAGAAGGGGGTCTTCCAGCAGTATTATCTATAGTACAATTTTTATATTTTCAAATTGCTAACCAAGTTAAATCAAATTCTTTCAGAATGCAAGCACTCTGTGAAATGTGAAATTCTTACAGGCATTGTGCTAACTTAGGTTACTTCCATTAGCATTATTATCTGCAAAAAGTGTGTGATGGCATCTTCCATGAATTTTATATATACAAATTATTAATTACAGTAATTAAATTATTTTACCTCAAAACTTAAAAAAGTAATAATTTATATCATCCAGTTGCTATAAAGAAGTGAAAATTTCACTCCTTCCTCTCTAGTTTAACCCATTGCAGTTATTAAATCTGATCTCCGAGAATCCTGAAATGCTAAATTTATTCATAATTGAATCTGAAATTGTTTAACAGTTGATACCGGACAACAAGACCTTAACCTTTTCTTCATCTTGACTGAAAACTAGATAGGATGCTTCTTGCCTGTGGGCTCCTGACTTTCCCCTCACCCTGACCCTTAAGGACTCAAGATGGCCTAACCACAGAGGTCCCTCCCCTCTCTTTTCCTAGAACATTTACTTTAGAAAACTTGTAACTGTAATTTCTTTCTCTGCCCCTTTGAGAATTTAAATATTTCAAAAAGCTTCTTGCATGATCCAGCAATTCCACTTCCAGGATTTACCTGAAGAAAAAAAAACACACACATTCAAAAAGATATCTGCACCCCAGTGTTCATTGTAACATTACTTACAATAACCAAGACATGGAAACAATCTAAACATCCATCCATAGATGAATGGATTTTTTTTAAAGTGATAAAATTAAAATATATATTGTACAATAAAATTCAGTCATTAAAAAATAATGAAATCTTGCCATTTGAGACAACATGGATGGACCTTGAGAGCATTACGCTAAGTGGAATATGTCAGACAGAAAAAGGTAAATATCACATGATCTCACTTATATTTGGAATCTTAAAAAACAAACAAAAGCAAGCTCATGGATGTAGAGAACAGATTGGCGGTTGCCTGAGGCAGTGGGCTGTGGGTAGGCAAAATGAGTGAAGGGGGTCAAAAGGTGCAGATTTCCACTTACATAATGAATAAGTCATAGGGATATAATGTACAGCATGGTGACTATAGTTAACAATACTGTACTTTGTATTTGAAAGTAGCTATGAAAATGGATCTTGAAGGTTCTCACCACAAGGAAAAAAAACTGTAACTACATATTGTGACAGGTATTAACTGGACTTATTTTGATGATCATTTTGCAATATATACAAATGTAAAATTATTACATTGTACACCTGGAACTAATATAATGTTATGCCCATTATATCTCAAATACATACATACATGCATACACGTATAAATTCCTCTTGCCAGTTTTACCACCAGGGGCTGTTTTTCTCAAGGACCTGGGAGCCATTTCTTTGAAATGTAATCATCAAGGAAAATAGGGCCCCTGTTCCCCAGTCTCTGTGGGAGGGTAGGAGCCTAACTGAGAAGGAGCCTTGCTCCAACTTGTAAAACTACCACCTGTTCTGAAAGAAGGAGAAAGTTTACTTTTCCTTTGGGTACAGCCAATTAGCAAACACAGAAGAACTACAATGCCCCTCACCCAGCTCTTAAAAGCTCTCCTCTTTTGTTTCAGTGGAACTGAGTTCAGAATTCATTCTGGTCTCTCTCCCCTATTGCCTGGAATAAATTTGATCTTGCCTGTTTAACATTGCCCAGTGTAATTTTTGCTTTAAGAATGTCCAATAAATCAGCTTGAATTTTTCTTATTATAAAATATGTGAGTGGTAACACATGTCCCCAGTGAAGATCACTTGGATAAACTTTTGCATAAATAATTATACTCTTGTTTCCGTACTTGAAATGAAAAACAGGAGAAAAAGCATGGTGAGTAGAAAATAGAAAGGGTTTTCCGAGAAAGGCTGAAAATAAATCATAAGATAACAAGGGGCTAATAATTAAGAAAATATTCACAAAAATAAATTTTGTATAGGTGTTCATAAGACTTTTTATGTAATTAAAATCTAGAACCCATTTATATATCTGATATTGAGCACTCAATAATATTATTAGATTTATCGTATTTATAGAAAGTGATATCAGACTTTAAATGAATG